CCAGGAGCGCGTGAAGGCGCTGCAGCGCGGACACGGCGAGTGGGCAGAGGCTATGGCGCCGGTAACTATACGCTGTTAAGAACATCGGTGCAATCCTTGATCATCGGCATAGACGTCACGTCCTTCAGACGCATTAGGAATTAGCGCGCCTTTTCGCGGGAGTTGATACTCAGTGTTTAAAATGTGTAAATATATTAAATAGTAACCTTAGAAAACTTGGTAATTTGGTAGTTTGTTTGTTTATTATTATTTATTAAGTTAACTATTTAATATATTTTACACATTTTAAAAACACAGTCTAATTACGTTGTTATAATTACATCAATGTCTAAAAACGCTTTTCACTTTACCACCATTTTTTACTAGTCTTTTATTCGGATGTAAAACCTTTTTTCAGTTTCAGATCAGTTTTTCGAACAGAGTCAGTTGTATATAGTGTTAGGTAGAGGACATAGTGTCGAGGAATTATGACTAGCTCCTCAAAGATTAGTTCATTGTGTAGATTAGGACCACCAAAAATGTTTCTACAATAAAAACTAGTGTGGCTTGCAGCACTAGAATCGTACAGCATATGTATGGTTTTATATTTAGTATTTTGTTACAGACGCTAGGAAAGATAGGCCGCGTCCAACAGATCTACCACGACAACGATCTCAAAGTGGAGGTGTGCAACACTTCCTGGACGTACAATCCCAACGCTGTTACAAAGGTCTTCTCCTCCGACGGCAGCGTCCATGGAAATTCTTCGGGTAAAATTTTGATCACATATTAGACGTAGGGTTGGCGCGAAAGGTTTTTGTCCTCCAAATAACTCTATCATACGTCATCTCAGTCAACACTCCCTTTTTGATTATGTCATCTTTTACGCAAACCATCCATCTCTTTATAGGTCTACCTCTACCGATGTACCCTTTCAAACTCATAAGTAACGGTCTCCTTTTAACATGCCATTCATCCCTAATGCCCCCATGCTAACCTTTACTCCTTACCTTCTCTATTACTGGGGCTACTCTCAAAGTGTGTTGTGTCGTGGCAAGTTGTGTCGTGTTTACGGTGTTTATTTTGTAGGCGATCGTCTGTCAGTGCTGTTAAAGAAACTGTTCGAGACGCACCTGACGGGGGACGCCAACGAGGAGCTGGTGAAGGCGGCGGCCAACGGCGACGCGGCGCGCTGCGCCGACATCCTGGCGCGCGGCGAGGGCGTGCGCGCCGACGTCAACGGCGTCTACGGCGGACACACCGCGCTGCAGGTACTCTGCTCTACCCACACGGTCCAACATGTACTCCAATCTTGTCATTTTGGAAAAAATTCCCCAGGGGTAGAGCAAAAGCTAGCAGAGGGTATCGGTACGTTCCATTGGAGCAGATCCCTAGAAATCGCACCTGAGGGTGGCCATCGGGGGGGGGGAGGTTTAGTGAGTAAAAATCTCTATCTTTCAAGTAGCCCCCCCCCCTTTGATACAAAAAAGGTACACTACTCTACTTCTCTACTATACTTTTGGAGAAACTCTGAACTGAACTCTCTGAACTCCCTCTTGAATTCTAAGTAAATATCCAGTGAGCCCGCACTGCAGGTACACACTACTCTTGCCGCCGTCGCACTTCTACGTCGTGCTCTCGAGCTGGCATCGATCTTAATGCGTCTTTTTCGGTTCCTTGGGCGTTGTACCGAAATCCTGAAAGATTGCTCTAAATCACTCGATCTCAAAGATAAGCGACAACTCGGATCCGGCGAACTATTACGTAACACCTTTGTTATGGAAGCAGACATTAATTGCCAATTGAATAAGGAAAGGACGAGAAGGTCTGTAGGCCCTTGATTTGTAAATGTAGTAACATGATGGATGACAAGAGAATAATGAGATTGTCTCATAGTTTTGCATCCGATATTTAAACATGTAATTAATTACAAAAACTAGAAACATTCCTTAGTCTTTAACTACATTTTTATGAGAGAAAAAAAATATTACGTCTGGTAAAATATTTATGGCTATGTTAATAGCTTACCGTGTGTTAATGTTTATGGCAAACTTAACAAACGCGGTTGTTCCACCGCGATAGGTACATAAAATTACGCAACTTTGACCCGATAGTTACACGTTAATAGCATGTCATTAGTTCGTTCGTCATGTTAAATCTGATAAAATGCCATTTAATGATGTGCCACAAAATATAAGTAATCGACCCTCTTACAACCCCCTACTAATAAGTGCGTGTTTTGTTTTATTGTTCACGTAACCTCGATTTATGTAATTGCACATCGCGCCTTTTTTTTAGGTTTACGCTTTAATTTTTTTAATGTTTAAATTACTTTTTACCGCGGCTTATCACCAAAGATTCCATAAACGACGTCCATTTTAACGTTTATAAAACCTTGTGGATATGAGTGAAATAAGGCCGGGGAGATGATGATGACATGTAAATAATTAAATCAGATATATTAACGTCGATAGAATGCGAAAACAAGAAATGCAAAAAAGAATATCTGCTATTACTTATTAGCCTTCAGTAATTATTTGTTTTATTATGTTGTAAGTTATCCATAAATAATTAAAATAAAATAAATAAATAAAGGGTACATTTTACTAAATGTTTATGATGTACTTTTTACCTCGTTTTCACCAAAAGTATACGGGGTATTTTAAGCGTCCGTGAATTTAAAAAGCAATATTGTTTTATCTCGTTGCAATGTCATCGGATACGCATCGTCAAAAAGTCAGTTTTTTAAAGGCGATGTTTTAAAATGTAACAAAAATATGCAAACGGTGAAAAAGCGCTTTAGTGTGTAAATTTTTTGTTTACTCCTGTTGTAAGGTTATTTGTTTTAAGCTAAATTGAGTGCTTGCCAAAAATTATAATTATATTTATTTAATTCACACTCATAGTAATAATTTTAACTAAATTTATGACACAAGAAAAAAACATTTACTTGGATAGTTACAATACAATTTAACTTCGAAAATGTCTAAAATACTAAACACGTTTTTTTTTCATTTTAGAAACAGCGAATAGTAAGGCTAGTGTTTAAGATGTTGCACCTAAGTCTTACGTGGCCTACATTTAGCTCGGTTCGCGCAAAAAGAACTTCAAGGATGAAGTGTTATTTCAGAACACAAGTATTGCAACGTTTAAAAATTTAAAGAAGCCTTTTTCCTGCTAGGGTAATGGGGAGCTCTATGACCCTTTGTTGGGCTCAAGTGTTTTGTAAGTACGCGTGTGTACCTTCAACGGTGAAAATTATCGTTTAGTTAACGCGTTGCTTGCGAGCAAAGTGATAATAAGTTTAGTTAAATGTACTGCTGTAAAGAAAATGTAGCAAACGTGCGAGAAATTTCAAACTCGCTAAAATTATTTTATATTTGCTTTTATGACTTTTATTTAATTTTAAGTACAATTTTTAATGTTTCATAGAGTTGTTTAATATGGTGTTCTTTGCTAAATCTTACTAAGGACATAAAAAGAAATAATTATTGGAGTCAGTACTCGACAATATTATCGAGCCAAAAAAGTATTTTTTTATTCAGTTGTTGATTTCGTTTTGCATTTACGGTTAAATATATTTGGGTAAACCGTCAAACGGCGTTGTTTTTTGTTGGCGATCACAGATATGTGGAATTCCGTGAGTCATTACCGCATCAAATTGCCTTTTTATTGCGTTTCGGCCGTAGCGCAGGGTAATCGCGCTCCGCCATTATTTTGATTATAATGTTCTTATCGCCAGTAAATGTGGTAAAATGCACGAAAATTTAAATTTTTAGGAATAAAAATGGTAATATATTTGAGAGTGCGGAATAGCCTGCGGTTATTTGAGGGGTAGGGCAGGACATTCATTTGTTGACCGATATTTAATGATCGTAGCATTATGTTTCAAACGAGAAATGGACGCTATATGAATTACGTGAAAAGCTCAGATTATTCTCATAATTAAACGAACTGATTTGTTAGTTTAGATAGTAGTAACCTTTTCTTTTTACTCTTATTACCATTTAAAATACTTGTCTCGCTAGTTTTATTTCGACCATTAAAATAAACAATCTTTACAGTTTTCTCTTGCTTATTCTAAAATCACAAATAAATTGTTAGAAACGTTCATTTAATGAATAAGTATCACTTTATCAAGTCGATCAAATTGCTTTTCTCTTTTAACGATGCTATATTTTCAACGAACCTCGATAATTGATGCTTCGTGCAAATTTTAAAAAGCTGATCCGTAGAGCAATCATCTCTTTGTTTAATTTACCAATTCTCATTGTCTTTCTATGAATGAACATTCGATGTTCGTGATTTTTTAAGTAAAAAGTTTTGGATTGATATTCTTTCTATTAGATTGTGAGGAATCAATGAGTGTAAAGCAGACGTTATTGATCAACTTTTTGTCAAATATGGACTCAATGTCAAACTTTTATTGTTCACTAGTCTTGTCCCGCGATCCCGTACGCGTGGAATAAAAAAAATATCGAGTAGCCTATGTGTTCTTCCATACTATCCTCTACATCTATACCAAATTTCACTGAAATCCGTTTAACCGTTTAGGCTACAAACTCTAACAAACATCCATCCATCTATACTTTCGCATTTATAATATTAGTATGATTGGGCGATTTGTACTCCCCTACTATTGTGCTATCGGAAACTTAGATATATGAAGATATTTTTTGCGTATATGCTTTGAACCATCACGGCGAGATCGTAAGGCCAATATGATAAAGAAGGGCTGATATGACAAGTTCATTAATATTGTTTAGGCGGCAGCACAAAACGGTCACGTGGAAGTGATCCGCGCTCTAGTAGAGGCGGGGGCGGAGGCGGACGCGGAGGACCGCGACGGGGACCGCGCGGCGCACCACGCGGCGTTCGGCGACGAGCCGGCGGCGCTGCGGGCGCTGGCCGCCGCGGGCGCGGACCTGAACGCGCGCAACCGCCGCCGCCAGACGCCGCTGCATATCGCCGTCAACAAGGGGCACCTCGGCGTCGTGCGCACCCTGCTGCAGCTCGCCGTGCATCCCAGCCTCCAGGTATGTTGACTGAAAAGAGCACTCAGCGGTGGTCACTGAGGTAGCCGCTTAGTGTACGTTTATTACAGATTCAGAAACTTAATTATACTAATATAATAAAGCGTAAACACACACTACTTTGCGGCGTAGGATGTCAGCAATCTGTCTCTCAATATCGAGAATAATTCTTTCCTTAATAAAAAGGAACACCTACAGGCTTTAGGCTATATATTTTCACGCTATTAAACTTGGGGAACAAATAAATTGGAAAAAACCTTCATGTGGGAAAGGGACCATAAACTACAAACTGCCAACATTAAGGATACAAGGTTATTATGGTAACAGTCATTTTCACATTTGCAATTGAGAATTTGATGAATGTAAACAATGAAATAAATAAGTTTATGCGAATGAAGCTGCACGGGATCAGCTAGTTAGTAATATAAAGCTAATTGATAAATGTTATATGCTCTTGATATCCAGTTTTACTTCATAATAGCAAACGACAATTATTCTCCTTTGTGTATCATATTGATAACTGATTAAAATACCTTACACTTTTATTCTATCAGTATAACTATGAGTTTTTTACACACACTGTATTATTACTATTTCAAGTGTTACTCATTTAATATAGACTTTTAAATATGAAAAATAACCAAACGAAGCAGAAATACACATTTTATATTCCACGGCAATAATATTTACGTAACTCAAACAATTCTTATCATTTGAATCGTGCTAATATCAAAATCTGACAACGATGTAATGAGTCAGCTGTTTACTGTAGGAGGAAAAAACTTCCCCTTTGCGAGGGAAGGAAAAGTAGGTAGTAAAGTTCGATGAAGCTCGGCCGCGGCGCGGGCGAGGTGAGGGCGAGGCGGTAGTGCAGCGCTCGGCCTCCTTGAATTTCCTTTCCTTTTTGCCGACGACTCAGATATTTGTGTAGTCAACGAATATGCGGGACGAAATATACTTAGCAGTAAGAGCTGTTATTTATGCTTATCATGAAATCTTGTTTACTGTTTCCCTATGTATACTCTTCTGGCAAACAAAATCTTGTTTGTTTACTTTTTCTGGGCTAATTCCAAATATTCTCAAGAACTCAGATTCGTAAGATACAGGATTGGGCACAATTTATTTTTTGTACTGAAAGAACTTTTAAATCTGTTATTATTATATTTTAGTATGAAGAACTGTTAATTTCAATTTAATAGTTTGACTATTACAGTAGCAAATCTTCACAACTTGTTAAATAAACATCATAATATCAATATCCACACAAAAAATCTTGGGTTGTAAGACTATTAATATAATAACAAACAAAAGGAAATTGTTCATGACGTCAAAGCCTTATTTCCTTTTACTTGCGTTTGATATTCGCGACGTAATTATATAGTAAGGAATGTTCCATTTCTCCAAACATACAGTTTTCTATTACGCAAACCATTAGCAGCGTCTGTTTACTTTTCCACAAAAACACTACAACCGTACAATATTTACAAAGAGTTTAAAACTAAGTTTCGTAATAGACGTTTCAACGTCTCTATTTTGTTTAGGACTACATCCAGGCTAAAAGTATTTTTTTAATTTACAAAGATAATAAACCGATACACATTTACCTCTATAATTTACGAATAAATACGAATTGAATTGTGTCACTGTGATGAAGTAACTATAATAATTAAAATTATAATTGATTTGTGTCTAATAATAGCTACAGATGGTTATTGATATTCCTCAAAGCAGCACAAAGTGAAGTTTCGATCTCTGATTACTGTTTTCACGTCAAAACAAAATAAACAAGTATCGTCTTACTGTATACTTCCTTGTTTTACCAGCGATTACCTTAATTCAATTCCGTTTAAATATTTATTAATTTGTGGTATATTCTTTTGCGGAACTATGATAATTTTATTTATTTTTCTTATTCGAGAGTTGTTGGGAATTGGTCGAAATATTCCGAGTCGTGTACTACTTATCTACATTGATTAAATTAGCGACGGGTCAGTAAATTGTATTAGTTTTCTGGGTTGTTACCTGAGCTCGTCCCTTTACTTTCGGCAGCCTCATTTCGCTGTTGATTTTTACGAACCCTATAAGGGAAGATAACATCAGACACTGAGCAACATTTGATTATAAGGTTTTCTGCTAACATTCGACTTAAGAGTTCTGCATCTGAAACTCCCAGTGTATTATAAAACAGTTTTGGGATAAATGTAGCTTTGGTTAATTTAATATTTTTAAAAATGTAAGTTAAAATTGGGTTTTTGCATAAATAAGTAAATAAACAATGACAGATAAACGATACCCTGTTGGTCATATTGCAAACGTTCTGTTTCATCTAATTGTAGTTTTTAAATAAAGCAGATACATTCCGGTGAATTGTGTGAGTTTGGTTAACCTGTATCGTCGCCAGAAATGGTATGCATAATTGTGTTTTACCGATGTAATTAATTCCACAGATTACGCGCCGTTTCATTTTCAGCCGTCGTACACTCGTCCAATACTTGTATTAATTTAAATTAAACGAGAGGTAATCTTTAAAAGTACCTACTTTGATTAAATGATATAATAGGTATAAGAAATCAATATATGGTAGTCTAAATAAATGTTGCTTCCGCAGCGTTGGATATTCTGTTTTAAATAATCTTTGGCGCGCGTTGGCCTGATTACATTTATATTTGTTTAGGCATTGATTACGATTCCTTTGATGTCCAATTGTTTTGAACTTATTTTGCTCAGCTTCGTCCCTACTGAATGTTTTAAAAACGTAAATGAGGTAATTTGCAAGAATTGTTAATGTCACATTATTAAATTTGAGTTTGGAAAAATGTAGTATTATGGATAAGTTAGTTAAACATTCTAAACGCTAGACTATTTTAAGTACAATAATACTTGATAAGTATTTTTATGGAGTATTTAACATAAAGTAGTATAAGATGAAGTCTAAAGTTATATTTTTTTACTGTACATAAAGTTGTAAGAAAATTTGTGTAAATACAATTCATTTTTGCTGAAAATGACGTCATCTATCATGCCTAACGAGTTCAGGACAATGTGATATCTGTGTTCCGCAAAAAATAAAGAAATTATATGTACATATTTGCATAACTTTTTAATGATATGTAAATTAAATGGAATAAAAGTTGCACATTATAAAAGTGTACACTTTTTGCAAGTTTAAAGAGATAAATTTCCGTAACTTTTTGTTCACAACTGGAGCTTGTGAAAGGCGTAACTTGACATACGTATATATTTACATTCATTCACTTTCGCAAAGCCCGTTAAATACGCGTGGATGGTTGACGCCATTTCGCTATTACTTTGCTTTAGTTATTGATTATGTAAAGGTGATCTTATTTTCTGGATCTTTAATGGTTATATTACATTTAATGTAAATTCTTATTACACTCGTCATAGTATACATATGCTTCTTGCTGATAGAGGTTTTTAAAAGGTGAAGGCATGATTTAAACAATAGTTTTTAATTAATTTAAGATAGATAAATTAAAACGAAATTTCTATGCAGACAGTGTCTATAAACGCTTTGTTTTACGTTAACAGTCTTAGATATACACAGTACCTTATAAGTCCGTTTTCTTAGGTTTAAACTTTGGAACGGTAATCCGCTTTCGTTCGTAGAGAGCGCTTTTAGTGCGAGGTTTCTGTTTAGCCGATCCGAGGCTAAGCGAACTTTGTGAAGATACCTACTTGATCTTACTTAATTGGTTTAGTATAACGCTGTATTAATGAAAGTTAAACATTACTTAAAATCTTACTCTATTCAAGATACTGAGTAGTCTAAAAAATAATACCGTAATGTAAATACTCCTAATATCAGCCTTTCCGAAGTCTTATAATTGCTAAATTATGATTTAAAGGTTTTTGTATTTTATATTTTTTATACGTCGCATTTTAATTCAAAAACAATGGTAACACATTTATACAGTTTACTGTTTCATAACGTTATAGTTTTAACTTTATTTAAATTTATTAATTCTGCTAAAACTACATTTAAAAGTCGGTTAATCGAATTAAAAATAAACTGTTTAAAAGGTTTGATCGAAAATTAATCGTGAGTTTTTTAGCACGGCCCTTCTGTGAGTTATTAAAGTTTTTTTCACCTACTGTAAGTGTAAATCGTTCTGCGCTCGTCCGCGTCGCTCGTTAGCGAACTGTAATTTTGCGAAAAAAATATATAACGAGCCACGAGCTTTATTGCGCCCTTTTAAACCACACTTTGTGTTGCTGATCCACAGGTGGGTTTTACTATCAATACTGTAATACTGAGCTAAATAAAGTGCTGTAAACGTTAATGAAAACATGAAACGATGCTATTTTTTTATTTTAAAACTAGAAGTAAATGTTATGGGGACAATGGAGGAAATGTATGAAACCCACAAACTACATGTAGAGAGGCTTAAGATGGTTTGTACTATTTCGAAACTTTTGTACAATGTACAAGTAAGCGCATCTTATGAAATCTAAAGTTTAAAGTCATAATATATGTTGCTTAATTTATGGGTTTTTAAATGTCATTTTACTTAATTAATTATGTTTTACAGACTTTATAATCATTTCTTACCAGGTTGAGATTATAATAATAAAATATCAATGAAATTGGTCTCGAACGATGTCAGAACAAGTCTGAGCAAGTTTTAGTACATTAAAGCAACGGAGAGAGTCGTGATTGAGTTTCTTCATCTAATTTCAATCGAATTCACATAACTTTCCCGCAACGTCACTCGATTCATTACTGCGAGAACCATGGACTTACGTTGCATCTTCTCTGGATTAATATGGAAACTTCAAGTTTGCGATTTGAATATCGATCACGTCAATTCATTCCGGTTAGACAGATTTACCAAGCTCGCATTATTTGCATGTGTCTAAATTTTGTAACATAAATGAATGAGCGAATGCTACTCACTTTAATTACTTATTTACTTTAATCCAATCATCTATCCATCAAGTTACTGAAAGTCTGCTTAACATAGTCCCCTTGGGCGCTGTTCCGA